ATGCATCCCGTACACTAACCCTAGCAGAAAAGAAGTACAGCCAACGATAACTCAAGTGATACAGCTACTCAGAGAAATTTTCTCTCGAAACGGGTTACCAGATGTGATCGTAGCCGACAACGGGTCGCAGTTTACTTCTACTCAATTTCAAGCTTTCTGTCAACAGCTAGCCATCAAGCACTTATGGTCGCCAACATACCACCCGCAGTCGAATGGGCAAGCGGAAAGATTTGAGGATACGTTTAAAAGAGCATTGATTTGGTCAAATGGGAGGGGACTTCGGCTGACGCGTTACAAAATTTCTTGTACGTTTTTCGAACAACACTAAATGAGTTGTTCTCGGAGCAAAGGTACCTAGCAGAAATTCTGTGTTTGCCCGGGGATAACAGGACAAATCATGGTCCTTGGACGGGTGCGCGAGTGGTCAGAAGAGTTAGGCGTGTCATATACGAAGTAGAGCTAGGAGCCAATAGATGGTCACGCTGTCATACTTAGATACGAAAACGGCTAACTGCAGATCACCCATCAGTAGGAGTAAACCTTCCACTTGACATCCTAATAGATACCTTCAACTAACCGGGAGCGCCACCACGAGAAAAAGCCTATCAACAAGCTGATCTTCGTTCCAGAAGTTGTCTTCTCCGACTGCGGCAAACAATAGTTAAAGGTGAAAGTCGACCCAAGGAACGTACGCTATTAAAAAGAGAGGAGTGTTGGAGACGTTAGATCCCCAAAACGCATTCGAGAAAGGTCCCAACTTCGGATATTGTGTTTTCGCGCATGAGCTGATCAGTCGACTTTGAGATTACATTCCACATCCGGAAAATCCTTGACTGTCATTGGTTGATGTATTATGTATAAATAAACTCGATTTGTGTGTTTGAAAGCCTCATATTTTCTGGGTGATCGTAGAACACACTTTCTACGCCTTGTCAAGACCTTTGATATAGTCAGCAGGGGCGGGTACAATCGAATCAGAATAGCTAATCATGTCACTAGATCATTTGTCTTCGCTCTCGTTTGCCGAGCAAGGTTAACTCGCAATAGTTCCAAGCATATGTGTTAGCTCTGCTGGAAATCTGTTCGTTGCAACATATTTAATATGGAAACGAAGTGATTACATAAAGCGACCACCCCTGTGAGCCTAAGTCATACCGTCTTGTTAAAGTGTTTTCACGTTGACCCTTGTTTGTCTTCTTCAGGCGTTCAACGACTTACATGAATCTTTTTGGCTTGAGTGACCGTCTGATTAGGAATAAATACTACAACAAACACTCTGTTATATAACTTCACTGATTCGAAATTTGCACTAGGCTTACTTCGGTAGTATCTAATTTATATACCAGTGTTGTAAATTATTGTCCATGTCGATGAAAACTGCAGAAGCTACCTTCATAAAAACAAAATGATTGTTTTTATTGCTATCTGTCGAGAGTCTTATGATCGAGAGGCCTTATTTACCCACCAACCTTACTGCTTGCTCCCCTGATTTGTCCATACAAAAAATACAAGGTTGGGTATCTTTCAGTATTCAAATACAATTTCCAACTTGGCAAACTAACGTTTAAACTGGAAAATTTCACTTATAACTGGAGATTAGAACGGAAATAAGATTGAACATTCTGAACATTGTATTTGATAGGGTCTTCCATAGAACATTTTATTCAACACCGGAAGCAAAAAGGTAGATGTGAAATACAATAAGATGTTTTTCAACGATCAATTGCCCTCTCATTGTTAAGTAATGATGTTTTAGACTAAGATCTAACTCCGCATGGATCCCAGTGGGATTACTGCCAGTTTCAGGCCAAGATAAATGAGTAGGGCTGGGCATGGGGTTAGCCTTACCATCCCGTGGAAAACTAACCCACTGAAACACTCTTAACGGAACAAATACTCTGATCAATTTAATATCTGCCCTGGGAGTTAGAAGGTCGTCATTTATTACAGTTATGATGCCTCATGGTGAAAGCCAAGTTTCTTCAGTAGTCGCAAGACTGGTGCTCCTTCTCACAACCAGATCAACAATTAATGTAGGTAGATGAAGTGTTCGAATAATGTGGGAGATCAGAAAAAATCATCGAGGTTGCTGCGGAAATGAAACGACAGTACTTGGCGGGGCTTGAAATCAGTAGAACACATTGGACACAGGTTGGAAAAAAGATTAGCTTCAGGAGGAGTGTTCTAATACTCCCGCTGTGAACAAGAAAACGCCTCACATACACAAGGAGTTGCACTGATGTTATCCAAACAAGAACAAACGGCGCTTAAAGGGTGGGAAACTCGTGGACTAGTGATCATCAAAGCATCCTTCATAACAAAGAAAGAGGGCATAAATATGAACGTCATCTAGTTCTATGCTCCCACCAGTGAGTACAATGAAGACGTTAAGGATTAACTCTGCAAAAGGCTACAGTCAATCATAGAGAGACGCTCATCAAAGTATTCGACCGTCCAAATGGGAGACCCAATGCCAAGGCTGGAATGGCCAACACTGGATATGAAGATATAATGGAAAAAGGAAAGAAAAAGATAAGAGATTCGTAACTTCAACAACCTGATCATAGGCGGCGCCAGATTCACACACAAACACATATAGAAAGCTACTTTGGTTTCACCAGGTCATATTACTCAGAACCAAACTGGACATATTTGCGCCAGTAGAAAGTTCAGAAGGACCATGTAGGACGTGAGGACCAACAGGGCGAAAAACTTTACAAAAGTTTAATATGGCGTTTCTTCAGGATACTGGCGAACTCAACGAATTCAAGATAGTCCTCAGTAACAGGTCTCAGGCCTTTCATGATCCACTCAACGGAGAGGAAACAACCATGGCGAGCAACTGGAAGGGGATCAAGGATGCATTCACCTAAACATACGATGAGGTTCTGGCTACAAGAAGTACCATCACAAGGAACCGACCACGGTTGGTACTCCGGATAAGATTCATGAAAGGAGGAACAAGAGGATAGCAATCAATACCAACCGAACAAGAGCAAAGAAAGCAAAGGAACATATGTTTCAGCCTATATAGCCCGGTTATGTCATCAATATAAGCCAGTCTGACGACCACACGAAGGTTGCGGCTAATGTTTAGCTGGCTGACTATAGCGGCCTTTATGGACTTCCCAAGCAAAACATTGAAGAGATCAGTATGACCTTCAGGCAAATCAAGAGTGGCAGAGCAGATAGACCAGACAACAGTTCAACCGTGGCATTGGAAGCAGACATAGAAGTAACTGCGAAAATGTTCTACGTTTTGTTCAACAATATTTGGGATGAAGAAAAAGTACCAACATACCGGGTAAAAGGACATTTCCACACGATACTGAAGATCTCAGTAAATGTGAAAACTACAGATGCATCACTCTTCTCTCACTACCAGCAAAATTCTTCAAATGTTTTTAAACCGATTGGGAGATCCAGAAGACGCCAGAATTCGAAATCAGCAGGCTGGGTTCTGCAAGTATCGATCAAGTACTGATCAAATCATGACACTATGGATAATTTTTGAAGAGTCAATTGAGTGGAATTCATCACTTTACATCAACTTCAATGACTACCAGAAGGCAGTTTATAGCATGGACTGTCAAAAAACTCCAGAGTCAGGATTTTCAATACAAATGTGCAGACAGTTTTACTATTTTGGGGCGGAGACTTGGAAAACAAAGAAAGCTATTATCCACAACATGAAACTGTTTACTGACAGTTCTCTACGCCAGAACCCTTGATTTTGAGATCTCAAAATCATATGAGCGTGATACGCTTCCCGTTGTTCGAAAATGGGAGAATTTCGCCAGAACCCTTGGTCAGAAACCTTTTAGTTGTGAGAGATACCAGATTGTCTAAGATCACCACTAAATGTTCCATAATATCCCGTCACGTATATCAAAACAAATCCATGGCTTAGTATTTTATTGAAGGAGAAGGTAGGCATTACATGGGGAGCAGCGCGTTTGGAAATATGGCAGCAACGCGAAGAGAACGTTCCGCGCAAGAAGTGTTTTTGGTACAGTTAAACAAAACGAGTGCAATAACGTTTATTTTCCACAAATCGTATTTTCTTCGTAGAGGCGTTCCATTACAACAGCCCCCCCTTAGACATGGTTTACACTTTTGATACATAGCGGCTGCGTTCGGGGGAGGGTGCTGGTTGGCCAACATTTGATTGTAGTGCGGAAGGGTTGACGAGCAGGAAACGACCAATGAAGCTCATGTTGTCACCGATAGTCTTCTACTTTTAACTGTACCTGTAGAAACGTTCCAGGTTTGCTGCTCGAGTTGATGTGCCAAGTTTGTCTATCGGATTGGCATGCCACACCAGAGTGGATCGTATTCAGATTCTGAAGATTGCGTTCGTAGGGGTCCGGACCAGATAAAGCTGGAGACGTAGGACGGAACCAGATTGAGAGAAGGAGCCACAAACGATGACAACGACCAGTGTGAAACCATTCTTATGCCAGATATATTCGTACCCAGAACATCGACTGAGAGCACTGACAAGAGCGTGGGTGATCAGGCTAACATTCGCCAAGGTTGACTGACTGACTGACGGTACAACCAGAGCAATGGTCTGAGGTATGGGCTCAGGATAAAAAAACTACGACCTTCTATGGGTAAGAACGAACCAGATCCCAGCAGTGGGTAAAATCACGAAGCACCTAACGTGGGTAGGACACAATGCTGCAAGCACAAGCAAGCGCCACTACAACCTTCGTATTTACCTTGTGTTTTCTTTTTCAGTGTTGAAGAACCAAATCAAGAACTGTACATTAGCGTGCATAGGAACCACCTCCTTACAATTCAGTAACGAGATGAAAGGAATTATTTGTTCGTGGTTTTTCACCAGCAAAGTTTGAAAAGTGGACAGCTAAGACTCAAAGTGCCAAACAAATGATAATTCTGGTAAGGTGGATTTATATGCCTGTCTGTTTTTCTGATAACATTCCAAGGAAGTGAGCTGTACTTAACGTGTTTGTGTTAGTTACATTGCCAAACGAGTAACCTTTATGATTTGTGGCGCATTAACTCCTCTTTTTAAACATAGGCATTCTGTAGATGGCGCATTTTTACCACGTGACTACTCAGCGTCCTACTTCTGTAGTAAAAACATGTACAGGTAATGTAGAATGATTGTGTTTAAATCTTTCCTCAGGCCATTTTACCAGTCCAAATGATCTCAACTTACTGATATGCAAAAACACCTACGTCGAGGTTTTTGAAGTTACATGTGAGGGCCTGAAATTGATTCGAGATGTGCCCATCAATGCTAAAATCGTTGCTGCTAGTCTATTTAGACGAAAAGTTAGTGTTTGAAAAAATTTTTGTAAATTGCAGGATCGTGAAACAGACTCCTTATTTTTACTCACTCACAAGGCTGGTGTTGCTATCATTGAGTGTGTACGAAATAATGATTCAGTTGAATTTGTCACTGTTGCCTCTGGAAGTGTAGAAGTACTGCGATATTTCAAGTATACTAAAGATTTTAGGATAGAAGTGCACGAATAATCGATCAGGGTTTTGACGTTTTGATCGATCCTGGTGCCAACTATATTGTCGTGCGATTGTATCATGGTCTTCTAAAAATCATATTACTTCAGTGTATTGGGGAAAAAATTGGCACCGATTTTTTAGATACAAACCAATGGACTGTAAATACGTACAGTGTGAGGTTAGTGCATTTTCTCCATAGAATTTTATCTTAAGAATCGAAGAGGGTAACATTGTTGATATGGCCTTCATATATGGCTATAGTTTGCCAACATTTGCTATGATTTATGAGGATGAACTTGTTTTACATATGAAAACATATGAAATATATGGACGGGAGCCTGTACTTCGCAATGTTCAACTGACCTTAGATTCCATAGAACCTGATTCTAAACTTCTTATTCCAGTTCCCAAACCTTATGGAGGTGTTATTTTAGTCGGTGACAATATTATATGCTATCATACTAAGGATGGACCCCATATATCTCAGTACATTCCACAAGCAAAAGTGAGTTCTATTATACTTTGTTTCTAACATGGAGCTAGGTTCTGTCTTAGGTATTCTATTTTAAATGTTAAGTGATACATCTTGTTAACTTGCTTCTTTAATTCATCCATTTATATCAAGTGTAATACAGTTTAAATGATTTGATTCCTCATCACTTTAAATCTCTCTTCAAATGTAAAAATTTTTTTTGTGGTAACTTGAAAGCTTATTTAAGTTATGGTTCGGGCATTATTATGTTGACCGTTAGGTTTGAAAACATCTTATTAGGATATCCTTTCACCGATGAGTTAGCATATATAAAAGTGCAGCCAGCTTATTTGCTGACTTCGTAACTAGTAATTGTTTAGTATCTAGAAATGTGGGTTAAAAATGTAACCAAAGTAGTATGATTGAAATTTATTGGATCTTCAAAGTCATATGCTGACGTAGCTTTTGTCCTCTTGGAGCTGTTTGGATCAAACCAAGAGAGTTATATGTGTAAATATGGTCAAGATACTTTGCTGTTAAACTATACTAAAGCGTTCATTTCATGTCATTACATTCATTAACCTTATACAAGCACTCTACTCGAACACTACTGGTCGAGTGAGAGCTGATGGCGACCTGTCAACGGAATTCCTTACTTCAAGTGGTGTCCGTCAGGGATGTCCACTTTCTCCATTCTTGTTTGATTTTATCATAGACATGCTCCTAGAAATAACCGTATCCTTGTCTGAATTTTCAGGAGTAGACCTACCAGGTGGCTCGCTAATTGACATAGTCCTACTTGGTAAAGACGCTGACAAAATGCAGTCTTCTGACCACCCTAAGCAACAATGCAAGCATGTTCGGGATGCGGTTTCCCCCCTCGAAATGTAAAATGTTGCTTCAAGATTGGGTTGCATCGGCACCTGAACTAGTGATAAGGAGTGAAGTAGTCGAACTTGTAGACTGCTTCACTTATCTCGGTGCGGATGGCCTGGTGACTGACGAAATCTCAGCTCGGATACAGAAGGCTCGATTGGCTTTTGCCGACCTGCGTCACTTATGGCTTAGGCGAGATATCCGTTCGCTGACCAAAGGACGGGTGTACTGCGCAGCAGTTCGCTCCGTTCTCCTATACGGCTGTGAAACATGGCCGTTAAGAGTAGATGTTCGTAGGTTACTAGTATTCGATCATAGATGTTTAAGAAGCATTGCTCGTATATCGTGGGACAGCCGAGTAAGCAATGCTGTCGTTAGGAAACGAGTACTAGGTAAGGATGGCAGATCAGTAGAGTAAGTGGTGAAACTTCATCAGTTGAGGTGGTTGGGACATGTGTTACGTATGCCTAACCACCGACTGCCTCGACGAGCTATGTTTTGTGGTGTAGGAGTAGGTTGGAAGAAAGTTAGGGGAGGCCAAACCAAAACATGGCACGAATCCATGAAATCACTGACAAGTGGACTTAGCCACGTCGGTAGTTGTCGACTACCTGGTTGGGGTCCGCGAGATGATAATAATCGATGGTTAGAGACCCTGAATGACATGGCTCAAAACTGTTTGCAATGGCGCCGGTGCATTTATTCTTTGTGTTCTCTCAAATCCTAATCCTCTGGATTATTAAACACCTCTACTTTGGTCTCTCTAAACTTATCTCACAGAATCATATTTCTTCAATAATATCTTCTAATCCTAACCTCTCTGATTACTTCTAATACCTTTACTACCTCCCCTACTATTGGATTTGAATTGACAATTATATCTTTATGCTGATTTGGTATGGCAACATGAACTGATGTACCTACGTACAAAGTTCTACGTTGCATCTGACTGACTGACTGACTAAGTTGACCCATGAGTGGCTACTTCTCTTAGCAGCTACACTTGTAAGCTTTTAGACAAAAAAGATCATTGACGATTGACTCAAGTTGTGTGTGTGAGTCCAAGTTTCCTAGTGTAGTCAGAAAAATAACCAGTTATAAAAGTTAAGATCGATAGCAGTTGGACTGATGTATTGTTTTCGGTTTATGATCTCCCGTTCCTTCGTTTACTCATCCTGGTTGGAAGCTTGGTACACTAGAGCACTAACAATGTGCCATAAAAGTTGACTGAAAGTATTTTTAAGAGTTAACAGCAAAATCATTAATAGTTAAAATGAGTGTCATGATCATCATTCATGTAAGAACACAACTGAAATAAATTCCATGCTTCCTAATTTTACGCTTGTTTATTTAGAGTGGAGATTGAGATTGCATCAGAATTACTACCCGCCTCGCTTCTGATCCATATCATTTATCGATTCTGTACTACCATTGGCATTGTTGAAACTCCCCTATCAGTTACAACGTAGAACTTCGTACGTAACTACAGCAGTTCAAGTTGCCATACCACATTAGCACAGACCGATATAATTGTCAATTCAAATCCTATAGGAGTAGAGGTAGTAGAAATATTAGCCGTAATCGGAGAGATTAGGGTTCGAAGATGCTATTCAAGAAGTATAATTTAGCGAGGTAAATTTAGAAAGAGAAAGAGAGAGGTGATGAGGAATTCAGAAGATTCGAATTCCAGAGAACACAAAGAGTAAATGCACCTGCGCCATTGCAAATGATTCTGAGCCATGTCATTCAGGGTCTCTAACCATCGATTATTATCATCTCGCGGACCCCAACCAGGTAGTCGACAACTGCCGACATGGCTAAGTGCACTCGTCAATGGCTTCATGGATTTGTGCCATGTTTTGGTCTGGCCGCCCCTTACTTTCTTCCAACCTATTCGTATTTCGCAAAACATAGCTCGTCGCGGCAGTCGGTGGTTAGGCGTTCGTAACACATGTCTTACCTACCTCAACTGACGAAGTTTCACCACTTCATCTATTGATCTGCCGTCCCTACCTAATACTCGTTTCCTAACAACAGCATTGCATACTCGGCTATCCCACGATACTCGAGCAATGCTTCGGAGACACCTGTGATTGAAAAGCAGTAACCAGCGAATATCTTCTACTCTCACTGGCCATGTTTCACAGCTATAAATTAGGACGGAGCGAACTGCTGCACAATACACTCGTCCTTTGGTCAGCAAACGGATATCTCTCCTACTTCCAAAGTGACGCAGGTTGACAAAAGGCAATCGATCCTTCGGTATCCGTGCAGAGATTTCGTCAGTCACCAGGCCATAAGCACTGATAAGACTCCCCAGATAAGTGAAGCGGTCAACACGCTCAACTGCTTCACTCCCTATCACTAGTTCAGGGACCGATGAAAACCAATCTGTATGTAGAATCTGACATATATTTATTTCTGTTCAAGTTGCCGTACCATTCAGTCAATCTGATGCAATGTTTTTGACCTCCTTTATACTTTTTCCAACCTACTTTTACCTACATCGGACAATATCACCAGTTGAGATTATTTGGCATACGTAAAAAGTATTCACTATAGAGAGGGAGAAAAAATCAACAAAATATGAAGCAAAAGAGATCAATTAATCTAAATTACAACTGAAATTATGAATCTTTCAATGTTAGACCACCATTAGAAACCTGGAAGCAGCCAAACCAAAACATGGCAGAAATCCATGAAGTCACTGACAAGTGGACTGAGTCATGTTGGTAGATGTAGGCTACCTGGTTGGTGTCCGCGAGACGAAAGTCACCAATGGTTAGAGACCTTGAACGACATGGCTCAAAATCGTTTGCAATGGCGCAGGTGCATCCACTCTTTGTGTTCTATGAAATTCTAAGCTTCTGCATTCTTCATAATCTCCTTCCTTCTCCTTCTAAATTTATCTCACTGAATTGTACTTCTCGAATCATATCTTCGCTCCCTTATCTTCTCCATTACTGCTAATACTTCTACTATCGCTATCACTCTTGAATTTGAACTGACAGTTGCATCTCTGTGCTGATGGGGCATGGCAATCTGAACTGATGTACTTACGTACGAAATTCTGCGTTGTATCTGTCTGTCTGTCTATATCATTTATCATATTTTAGTAATTAACTTAAAGGTTCAATCATCACTTCATTTATTTCTGTATAGCTATCTTAGTTATATTCCCGTCTTTCACGCAAAAGTCTTGGTACACAATTTCCTACGTGGTTACCTATCTATCACTCTCTAATATCATCGCATAAAATAACTGGCTTCCTATTAGTGTTGGCATGATTACATTCAATTTTTTTTTAAAAAAAAACTTTCTCTCTGTATCTTAATGTAAACTAATTTCTCGTGATTCAAAGAGAATATATTCCTCATCTTTTTTTTTTCAGGCCAGTCAAGTACTATGTTACGCTGCAGTTGATGCACAACGTTATTTATTAGGTGATATGGCTGGTCGTTTATACATGGTACATTTATTGTCTGAAGATACATCTGCAGCAAATAGTGGTACAAGTAATTCGGATAGTCTTTCAGCAGTTCGTATTGGATCTATTCGAATTGAACTTCTTGGTATGTATGTATGTATGTATGTAGATTATGGATCTCATTACTTCTTTCTTTTTTTATTTTATTTTACCGAATAGTTTTCAGTTGTAATTTTAGTTGCTTCTTCCTTAAGTAATTTCATTGTTTGATATTGTTATAATGCTGCTACGTATCGCTATTCAGTCCTAGCAGTCAGTCAGTCAGTTGCAACGTAGAACTTTGTACGTATGTACTACATAAGTTCATGTTGCCATACCACCACATCAGCACACAGACGCAAGTGTCAAATCAAATCCCATAGTGATAAAGATAGTAGTCAGTCAGTTGCAACGTAGAACTTCGTACGTATGTACATAAGTTCATGTTGCCATACCACATTATTAGCACAGAAACGCAAATGTCAAATCAAATCCCATAGTGATAAAGACAGTGGAGGTATTAATGTTAATAAAGAAGACTAGGGTTTGAAGATATTATTCAAAAAATATAATTCAGTGAGATAAGGTTAGAAAGACAAAGGTAGAGGTGCTGCCTAATCCAAAAGATTAGGATTTGAGAGAGCTCAAAGAGTGGATGCACCTGCGCCATTGCAAACGATTTTGAGCCATGTCGTTCAAGGTCTCTAACCATTGATGACTTTCGTCTCGCGGACCCCAACCAGGTAGTCTACATCTACCAACATGACTCAGTCCACTTGTCAGAGACTTCATGGATTTGTGCCATGTTTTGGTCTGGCCGCCCCTAACTTTCTTCCAACCTACTCCTACACCACAAAACATAGCTCGTCGAGGCAGTCGGTGGTTAGGCATACGTAACACATGTCCCAACCACCTCAACTGATGAAGTTTCACCACTTCATCTATTGATCTGCCATCCTCACCTAGTACTCGTTTCCTAATGACAGCATTGCTTACTCGGCTGTCCCACGATATACGAGCAATGCTTCTTAAACATCTATGATCGAATACTAGTAACCTACGAACATCTTCTACTCTTAACGGCCATGTTTCACAGCCATATAATAGAACGGAACGAACTGCTGCGCAGTACACCCGCCCTTTGGTTAGCGAACGGATATCACGCCTACGCCATAAGTGACGCAGGTTGGCAAAAGCCAATCGAGCTTTCTGTATCCGAGCTGAGATTTCGTCAGTCACCAGACCGTCAGCACTGATGAGACTCCCCAGATAAGTGAAGTGATCTACACGCTCGACTACTTCACTCCCTATCACTAGTTCAGGTGCCGAAGCAACCCAGTCTTGAAGCAACATTTTGCATTTCGACGGGGAAAACCGCATCCCGAACATGCTCGCATTGTTGCTTATGGTAGTCAGAAGACTCTGCATTTTGTCAGCGTCTTCACCGAATAGAACTATGTCATCGGCATATTCTAGATCAGTAAGCGACTTTCCTGGTAGAAGGTCAACCCCTGAAAAATCTGACGAGCTTAATGTTAACTCTAAGAGGATGTCTACGACAAAGTTAAACAAGAATGGAGAGAGTGGATAGCCCTGACGGACACCACTTGATGTAGAGAATTCAGATGACAGTTCGCCATATGCTCTCACCCGACCAGTGGTGTTCGAGTAGAGTGCTTGTATAAGGTTAATGTACTTCTTTGGTACACCTTTCAATGACAGACACTGCCACAGAACCTCACGATCCACTGAGTCGAATGCCGCCTTAAGGTCCAGGAACACGACTATTGTCGGACGTCTAAATGTGTGTCTGTGTTCCAGGATAGTAGAGGTATTAATGGTAATGAAGAAGACTAGGGTTGGAAGATATTATTCCAGAAGTATAATTCAGTGAGATAAGGTTAGTAAGACAAAGGTAGAGGAGGTGTTGACGAATCCAGAAGATTAGGATTTGAGAGAGCTCAAAGAATGGATGCACTTGCGCGATTGAAAACGATTTTGAGCCATGTCATTCAAGGTTTCTAACCATTGTTGACTTTCGTCTCGCGGACCCCAACCAGGTAGTCTACATCTACCAACATAACTCAGTCCACTAGTCAGTTACTACATGCATTTCTGCCATGTTTTGGTCTGGCCGCCCCTAGCTTTCTTCCAACCTACTCCTACACTACAAAACATAGCTCGTCGAGTCAGTCGGTGGTTAGGCATACGTAACACATGTCCCAACCACCTCAACTGATGAAGTTTCACTACTTCATCTATTGATCTGCCATCCCTACCTAGTACTCGTTTCCTAACGATTGCATTGCTTACTCGGCTGTCCTAGCGGCGTCCAATTCAAATATCCCAATACGACCCAAAATGCTATTTACAAATCTCCCATATATCAGAACGCAACACAGTGGGATGGAGTTGTTTATTGGGTCGAGAACAGAGAAACGGAATTGGAATCGGAATCCTGAAGGCTTACAGATAGTGCGTATTTATGCATTAAGGTCGAATAGGAAAGAGCATCAAAGTCTGTGACATTGACAGTTTATGACGACGACCAATAGGAAAGAACACTTGAAATGACATTGATAGTCCGGATGACCAATAAGAGACAACATTGAAGTATTTTAGACTTTGACAGTTAAAACGACCATAATTTTGACCAATAGAAATTGACCAATGGGATTACACTTCTAAAAATAGTAGTACTCGTAGGATATTTGGTGAATATTTTAACAGATATAGATAGACACAATATGAAAATATTTCATAAATTTATTCTTTATAATATTATATTAATTTACCCGATAATTTAAATCACATTTGTTCACCTTTTTTTTGTTGTTCTAAAAGGTGAAACTGCTACACCTGAATCTATAGCTTATTTAGATAATGGCGTTGTATTTATTGGTTCAACGCTGGGTGATTCACAATTGATACGGTTAAATCCTGATCCAGATCCTGAACGTAATAGTTATATTACTATTTTAGAAACATATACAAATATTGGACCAATAGTTGATATGGTTTTATTAGAGACAAAAGGTCAAAATCAATTGATCACTTGTTCTGGAGCTTATAAAGAAGGAAGTTTACGTGTTATACGCAATGGAATCGGGATTCATGAACATGCTACAATTGATCAAGATTTAATTAAAGGTGAGCGAGTTGTTGTTGTTGTTGCTTTTTTTATTTTGTTGAAATTTAATTTTGTGAAATGTGAAAAAGTCAGTCAGTCAGTCAGTTGCAACGTAGAACTTCGTACGTATCTACTACATAAGTTCATGTTGCCATACCACCACATTAGCACACAGAGACGCAAATGTCAAATCAAATCCCATAGTGATAAAGATAGAAGAGGTATTAATCGTAATGAAGAAGACCAGGGTTCGAAGATATTCTTCAAGAAGTATAATTCAGTGAGATCATAGGTGTCTTCGAAGCATTGCTCGTATATCGTGGGACAACCGAGTGAGCAACGCTGTTATTAGGAATCGGGTGCTAGGTAAGAATGGCAGATCAATCGATGAAGTATTGAAACTTCATCAGTTGAGGTGTTTGGGACATGTGTTGTGTATGCCCAACCAACGACTGCCTCGTCGAGCCTTGTTTTGTAGTGTAGGAGTAGGTTGGAAGAAAGTTAGGGGCGGCCAAACCAAAACATGGCAGAAATCCATGAAGTCATTGACTAGTGGACTGAGCCATGTCGGTAATTGTCGACTACGTGGTTGGGGTCCGCGAGATGATAATAATCGATGGTTAGAGACCTTGAATGACATGGCTCAAAATCGTTCGCAATGGCGCCGGTGCATTTATTCTTTGTGTTCTCTCAAATCCTAATCTTCTGGATTCTTCAACACATCTAGTTTCGACTCTCTAAACTTTTCTCACTGAATCATACTTCTTGAATAATATCTTCTAATCCTAACCTCTCCGATTACTTCTAATTCCCTTACTACCTCTTCTACTATTGGATTTGAATTGACGATTACTTCTCTGTGCTGATGTGGTATGGCAACATGAACTGATGTACTTATGTACCAAGTTCTACGTTGCATCTGACTGACTGACTGAATTCAGTGAGATAAGGTTAGAAAGACAAAGGTAGAGGAGGTGATGACGAATCCAGAACATTAGGATTTGAGAGAGCACAACGAATGGATGCACCGGCGCCATTGCAAACGATTTTGAGCCATGTCGTTCAAGGTCTCTAACCATTGGTGACTTTCGTCTCACAGATCCCAACCAGGTATTCTACATCTACCAACATGACTCAGTCCACTTGTCACTGACTTCATGGATTTCTGCCATGTTTTGGTTTGACCGCCCCTAACTTTCTTCAACCTACTCCTACACTACAAAACATAGCTCATCGAGGCAGTCGGTGGTTAGGCATACGTAACGTATGTCCCAACCACCTCAAATGATGAAGTTTCACTATTTCATCTATTGATTGCTATCCTTACCTAGCACCCGTTTCCTAACGACAGCATTGCTTACTCGGTTGTCCCACGGTATACGAGCAATGCTTCTTAAACATCTATAATCGAATACCAGTAACCTACGAACATCTTCTACTCTTAACGGCCATGCTTCACAGCCATATGGGAGAACGGGGCGAACTGCTGCACAGTACACCAGTTCTTTGGTCAGCGAACTGATATTTCGCCTACGCCATGAGTGACGCAGTTTGGCAAAAGCCAATCAAGCTTTCTGTATCCGTGGTGAGATTTCGTCAGTCACTAGGCTATCAGCGCTGATGAGACTTCCGAGATAAGTGAAGCGGTCAGTCAGGTTAGTCAGCTATAACGTAGAACTTTGTACGTACGTACGTACTTATGTACATCAGTTCAAGTTGCCAGATTATATT